AGTGTCCCACGTGGGTGATTGTCACCCTTACTTGATACTGACCTTTCACAAGGGCTCACTCAACCTCATCACATGAATGTCTCTTCACCCTGCTCTTGGTGTGTCAACTTAAGGTAATTTCCTTTTACATTTGCTCTCATTACTCTACTTGGTCCCTGACACCCACTCTGAGTCACAATGCCTCTGTTCACACATGATAAACACCTTCTTTTTGTCTTATACAGATGAAGTCTTTATGACCAACATGCACAGGAATGAGAGGCCTAATGAGGCTATCTAAGATACAGATTTAAAGTAATCCAATTAAAAAATAGGGAACAGGAACTAAACAGAAAATTCTCGGTAGAGGAATATCAAATGGCAGAGAAACACTTAAAGAAATGCTCAACACCATTAGCCATTAGGGAAAGGCAAATCAAAACAACCCTGAGATTTCACCTTACACCCATCAGAATGGCCAAGATAAAAAAACTCAAGTGACAACACTTGCTGGAGAGGTTGTGGAGAAAGGGGAACCCTCCTCCACTGCTGGTAAAAATGTAAACTTGTACAACCACTCTGGAAATCAATCTGGCTCTTTCTCAGACAACTAAGAATAGCACTTCCTCAAGTTCCAGTCATACCACTCCTAGGCATATATCCAAAAGAGGCTCAAGTACACAATAAGGACATTTGCTCAACCATGTTTGTAGCAGCTTTATTTGTAATAGCCAGAAGATGGAAACAACCCAGATGCCCCTCAACTGAAGAATACATGCAGAAATTGTGGTACATCTACACAGTTGAATATTACTCAGCAATGAAAAATAAGGAAATCATGAAATTTGCAGGTAAATGGTGGGACCTGGAAAGGATCATCCTGAGTGAGCTATCCCAGAAGCAGAAAGACACACATGGTATATACTCACTCATATAGACATGTAATATATGATGAACCTACTGAAATCTGTACATCTAAAGAAAGTAATCAAGAGAGAGGACCATGACTAAAATGCTCAATCCCCATCCCAAAAGGCAAAGAGGAAGGACATCAGAGGAGGAAGAAAATAGGAAACAGGCTGAGAACCTGCCACAGAGGTCCTCTGAAAGGCTCTGCCCTGCAGACTATCAAAGCAGACGCTGAGACTTATGGCCAACTGTTGGGCAGTGTGCATGGAATCTTATGTAAGAAGTGGGAAATAGTAAGATCTGGAAAGGACAGGAATTCCACAAGGAGAGCAACAGAACCAGAAATTTGAACACAGCGGTCTTCTCAGAGACTCATTCTCCAACCAAAGACCATGCATGAAGATAACCTAGAACCCCTGCACAGATGTAGCCCATGGCAGTTTAGTGTCCAAGTGAGTTACATAGTAATGGGAAGAGGGACCGCTTCTGACATAATCTGATTGGCCTGCTCTTTGATCACCTCCCCCTGAGGGGGGAGCAGCCTTACCAGGCCACAGAAGGTGACAATGCAGCCACTCCTGATGAGATCTGATAGACTAAGATCGGAAGAAGAGGAGGACCTCCCCTATCAGTGGACTTAGGGAAGGGCATGAGTGAAGAAGGGAGAGGGAGGGTGGGTTCGACAGGGGAGGAGGAAAGGGATTATGGGGGGATACAAAGTGAATAAAGTGTAATTAATTTAAAAAAGATATGGATTTAGTGTGATTTATTTGGGCCCATGAGACAAATTAGTGACAACAAAGTAGTCTCCTTGAGTGCCAGCTGTGTAACTGCAAGAACCGTGTCTGTCTGGCTCCTTAGTTTATCCACAAGTTCACCATATGCTTTGAGTAGAATAATTAACAAATAAGCCATTTTCCATTTATCTTTTCTCTTCTTTGTCTTCTTGACTTATGTGCATATGAAAATAGTGGTTGTGTTAGTGATTTTTGACCTCGTGTGAGGAAATCTTTGACATATACAAATTAAAGGAGGAAAGATATGGGTTGGTTCATAGTTTCTGAAGGAGTTCATGTTTTTGTTTGTTTTGTTTTTGTCCCATGTGTTATGTGAGAGCATCATGGTAGCAAGAATTTGTAATAGAGGAGTCCCTTTATCTCATGGAATACAGGAGAGAAGTAGAAAGAGAGACTGAGGGGAGGGTAGGCAAGACAGGGCTCCTAAGGACAAGTTCCTGTGACCCACTTCTTCTGGCTAGGCCTTATCTCCTAATGTTTTCAGAACCTACCAAAATAGTGCCACCATCCATATATCAACCTTACAATAAATGAACTTTTGGAAATGCATGCATCATATTCAGACCATAACGCTGACCATTTAAACATTTTAAATGACACTAATTTGTGTCCTTTATAAATGCAAACATCTATATTTATATGCCTAGGATTTTTTCATTCCACAAATTTCTACTGTGGAACAACCTTATAAATTCAATATGTGGCCAAATGGACATAAGTAAATGAAGCTGTCACCTGTACAACATCCCCAGGTTCCTGCACATCCACTGACTACGGGAAGAAAATCTCTACACACCACCAAAATCAGTTTTCAGTCATTGAGCTTGCTTCCCTTCAAAATGTGAGCAACAGTACAAGAAAACAAAACAAACAAACAAAAACTCAAAACACTGTCATCCTTGTAGGGTGACCATGGGCTCCACAATCCATTTCCTTAATAACCCTCTTCAGCAATAATACAAATTCTTGCTGCCATGATGCTCTCCCATAACACATGGAACAAAAACAAAACAAACAAAAACATGAACTCCTTCAGAAACTATGAACCAACCCATATCTTTCCTCCTTTTTCCACACAGGGCAGCATTTTCATAGAACTTTCCCAAGAATAACATCTCCGAGAGAGCCTTCTTGTGAGAGGAGTTCTGTAGTTAAGAACCATTGGGAACGTAAAATGCATATGCGCACACTAGAACGCCTCAGGACATTCCCTACAGAACATTGTTTAACTTTGTGTGGCCTGGTATTGCTCAATAGTCCTTAACCACGGAGCTCGTCTTGAAGTCGCCTCTAACTTCATTATGTTTTTGCACTGGGACAAGTGTTGTTATGAAATAAACGAGGCAAGACGTGAAATGTATGTCGTGCTCTATGTGTTCTCTGTTTAACTGGCACTAATTCATCTTCTTAGTTTATTACTTATGGAACATTGCTATTTTTAATATTGAAAAAGTAATATATGTGTGTGTATGTTATACTAATTGAAAATACATACATATCACAGAAAGAATTTTTCATTTTTTTGTGACACAGATCCCTTGGATTTCCACAAATAATTTTGTTTATGTACCCTACTCTCGCCATTTTGGGTAGATGACACAGACACATAAGAATAAATATTATAATGCATTCACAACAAACAGATAATGAACACGGATTCATTTTTTCTTCTATAGCAGTCTCTAAATTCTTTCATTTTCTGACATATTAATATGTTTTTATGAAGCTCTAGAATGAGGTAAAATTAGGATTTTATGTTAATATCCTCCCCCAAAGTTGTACGTTAGAAAGTATTATTGAGAATTGGAGAATGATACATAATTGTATGGGGCAAATAGATGATTGGTTTAGATGTAAAACTTATTTTATAAATCTGTGCCTAACACTCCCGGAAGAGTATTCTGTAGTAGTTACATGTTATTATCATCTTTAACAGTTATGATGTGTCTTATCAGTGGTTATACCTGGTTTATCACGCTGGGAGAATACACATGCTTTGAGGGCTTGTTCCTGCCTGGGACAGTCCTGACACTGAAGGCATCTGATCATCAAAGGTCTAAATGACTAGAGGGACCATCTGAGTATTGATTCATCCACCAGAAGCAGAGATTTGGTGACTCAAGTGCTCGTTAACAACTTCATTTGAGACTAGAGAGGGACAGCGAAGAGAAATGCAGGATCCCGAGAGTCACAGATGTAACTGCAAAGAGATTGCAGTTTGTAGAAGTTTTGATGGAGGATTTCTTTCCTTAGATTGCTGTAACAAAGTGCTCCAAACTGTGTGGCTTGAATGACAGAAATGTACTGGTCCTCATGTTGTGGTGATCACCAAACCATAAAATTATTTTCACTGTTATTTCGTAACTGTCACTTTGCTATTGTTATAATTTGTAATATACAGCGTATCTGATATGTGACCCCTGTGAAAAGATGGGTTGAGGGCCAAAGGGGTCACGACCCACAGGCTGAGAGCAAACACTGCTTTACCTGATACACCAGTACTGGGAAGTGCCTTGTCCAGGCGATGGCTGCCTTCTACAATGCCACTTATGAAGTGTTAGGTAGCACTAGATGGCTAGTGGGCAACGGTGTATATAAAAATGTGTGTGTGTGTGTGATCATAGTTGGTTCTTAGGACCCTGAATAAAGGCTATACTCCAAGCCTTTCTCCGTAGCCTTTCTTTGCAATTGGTTGTCTTATCCCTGTGTCTCTTCAGACATTGTCCCTCTGTGTACATCAGTACCCAGATTTTCTCTTATAAAGACACCATGCATACTGGGAAAAGGCCCACTCTATTGACTTCTTTTAAACTGGACTATTTCCCTATCAATCTTATCTTCAATTAAGGCCACAATGTGGGTGCTTTGGGTTAAGACTGCAACACATGAATGTGGGTACATAATTTAATCCGTAATAGATGGCTTTTAGTGCTTTTTATAATTCTCCCCAAGCCAGTATACTCACTCACCAATTGCAGCCATTAGAATGTAGGCTCCTTAAGGAAATGCAAGCAGTGAAAGCGTATGTGGCTACTACAGTGTATCATCTTGTTCACAGCATATTTTATTTCTCCAAGAGGGTGTCTGAATATCCTGAAACACCTGATGGAGTCTCTTAAAACCGAAATTCAGGAGGCTGAGCTGCAGAGAATCACAGGGATCCCTTGTCCTCCTGACTTCCTCTTGGGGTTCTCCTTGCTTGCCTCCTTCCCTCACTGTCCTTCTTGTCTAGATATGCACCTTTGACCCTCTAGGCTAATCCACCCCTTCTTTATTGCCCTGAGTTAGTTTCCTTTTCCAGGAATCCCAGTGATCTCCCTTGGTGAAGGAGCATACTTCAGGCAGAAACACACGCTGCGACTCCAGCTATGGTAGCTGAGTTAACTTCAAAGCTCTTCAGACATGAGAACATCTGCCAGAAGGACCACTGAAAGGAAGAGTTCTTTCCGTGTTTTATAGCCATCCCTGGTTAAATTTCTTGACCTAAGGAGAAACTGGCTGTTTCGCACACAGTGGTGCAGTGCTTTGGCTTCACCATGCATTACTGTCGTTCCTGCAATGTCCGGGTGCTGGTGGCTGTTGTGTGTGGGCTGCTGACTGGCGTCGTTTTGGGACTGGGAGTCTGGAGGATGGCCATAAGGATCCACAGAGGTAATGTCAACTTATTATATTCTACTGAGAAAGGGAGAGAAAGAGAGAGAGAGAGAGAGAGAGAGAGGAAGGGAAGGAGAAAGGGAGAGAGGAGAGGAGGGAAGGAGGGAGGAAGGGAGAAAGAGACACAC